TGTACACTAATAGTCCCTAAACCCCTTTACAGCATTTGGGGTTGAATAATTTTGGCCACAACTGTATGTATATACATATATACCACAAAGTGGTAGGCCATGTAAAATGAAGACTGGGGTCATGCTGAAGTGCACAGTGCGCAGAAGTCACCAACTGTCTGCAGAGTCAATAGCTAAAGACCTCCAAACTTCGTGTGGCCTTCAGCTTAGCACAACAACAGTGCATAGAGAGCTTCATGGAATGGGATTCCATGGCGAGCAGCTGTATCCAAGCCTTACATCACCAAGTGCAATGAAAAGCACACCACCATTGGACTCTAGAGCAGTGGAGACGTGTTCTCTGGAATGACGAATCACGCTTCTCTGTCTGGAAATCCAATGGACGTGTCTGGGGTTTGGTGGTTGCCAGGAAAACGGTGCTTGCCTGACTGCATTGTACCCAGTGTTAAGTTTGGTAGTGGGGGATTATGGTGTGAGGTTGTTTTTCAGGGGTTGGGCTTGGCCCCTTAGTTACAGTGAAGGGAACTCTTAAGGCATCAACATACCAGGACATTTTGGACAATTTCATGCTCCCAACTTTGTGGAAACAGTTTGGGGATGGCCCCTTCCTGTTCCAACATGACTGTGCACCAGTGCACAAAGCAAAGTCCATAAAGACATGGATGAGCGAGTTTGGGGGGAAGAACTTGACTGGCCTGCACAGAGTCTTGACCTCAGCCCAAAAGAACACCTTTGTGTTGTGTGGAGACTGCTAGCCAGGCCTTCTCGTCCGGCATCAGTGCCTGACCTCACAAATGCACTTCTGGAAGAATGTTTTCTGTTTTGATTATTGTTTTTTTCCATTTGCAACATCCACACCTAAGGTGTTGTATTTTCTGTTCTGTAAAAATAGGCCTTTAATAAAAAATTTACAATATTAAAAAACAAAATTTGTTGGGAGTCATTCCGAGTACTCGACATCATTGAGCATCAAAGTGGTCATCCGGTCCCAAACCCCCTAAAAAGGAACAGATAGTGCATCTCCAGGCCTGAACAATTGTTCTAGTTGCTGACAAGAATAAATAAGAGGCTAACTTCTGCTTAGGAGCCAACAGGCCTGGTATGGGACAATGAAGCAAGGCATACCGGGCTTCCCGGCATTCTCTGACATCGGCATTAAACTTTTAAATCTTTTGTTCCCATTTATTCTGTGGCTAGGATCTTCTCCATGCTCTGGGGTGAATTGAATTAAAAACTCATATTTATGTATTTTAATGAAGTAATTGTGATTGTGGCATATTATATTAGAAATGATATTTCTGATTATTTAAATGTTTGCTGTTTCACAACCTAAAGTTCTGGGACTGGTAAAATATTAAATAAAACAAACATACTTTTTTTTTCCATAACACATTTTTATTTGGTTTTACAAATATAGTTACATCAACAAAAAAAAAAAAAAAACAGGATAGTGAAAATCTACACAATATCACAGTATAGGTGCTGTAGTAAAGTTTAACAAAGAGAAAAAAGGAAATATTGAATAATTACTAAAAATCCTACAAGTTCCACGAAATAATCATTTTAGAGTATCCAAAAAAAGGTTAAACATAATAAAATCTTAGGTTACAGTTACAGTTCTGAACCAGTCAGACCAGGGTTTTCAAGCTTTGTCAAATTAGGTAATTGTATCGTTTAGGTAAGCTAAAGATTTCTCATAAATGAAGTGTGTCTACACTAGCTCAATTATTTCTTTTAGAGAAGGGCTAAGTCTTTTTTCCAGTGTCTAGTAATTCTAAGTCTTGATGCTAGAAGAATATGTGTCACTAAAAGTCGATAATGGATTGGATATGTATCTATATTTATATTCAGAATGGCTAGGGTAGGATCTGGTTGTTTTAATATCCCAGTAATTTCCGATATCATGTGAAAAACTTTATACCAATAGCTTCTAATATTTTTACATGTCCATAATATACGTAATAGAGTACCAATCTGACCACAGTTTGTCCAGCATTGAGGACTATGTTGTTCTGAGAATTTGGCCATTTGGTAAGGAGTTAGATACCATCTTGTGGAAATTTGTGCGTTAGCTCCCAAAGGGTAACACACCTAGTAGTTGAAAAACACATTCCCAAATGCACATTCCCACTGCTCCTTAGAGATTTCAGTCTTGAAGTATTTTTCCCACTTGATTAAGTGAGTAGTCTTGTTATATTCTGATTTACATTGTAGAAGATTATAAAATAGGGTTATACCACCTGATTTAGGAGTAGCGGAGCTATAGAACTTTAATGATACTATAGGCAGGGCTTAAAATTTTGAGTCTAGACCTACTAGCCAGGCACAAACCTTACTCTCCACCAGTTGCCGCACTCAACCTTGCCCAGGTCCGCCTCCAACCCCACCCCTGGCCCGCCCCCAACCCTGCCCAAAGCCCTGCCCCCAACCACACCCCCTTAAAGCTTATGAAATTACATTTTTCTTTAGAATAGAGTCTAATAGAAAGTTGGCTTACATAATCAAGTCTCATAGTGGATAAGAGGCCAGACTGAGCCTAGAACCCAATTTATGAAACCTATGTAAACGTGTAATGTGTATTCACAGCATCTCTGTTATTATATTAGAAAGTCACATAACACATTTTCTGCCATTAAAGTATTAAAAAAGGACACAATGTGTTAATAACTGGATGTAAGGTCTATCCATAGACATAGGACAATTGTCACCGAATCCTGGCCGACTGCCAGAGGCATCCCCTGGTGACCATTTGTTGCATATACTATGTGTATGTTCATGTCACTGATGTGTAAAGGTATGACACCATGTCTGGTGAAAACAACTCGGTATTCTAAAAAAGCTTGCACTAAAGTATATTAGGTTAGCTAGCAAAAAGGTGTTGCTTACATTTTCACATCCTTTCTACTATCTATGGCTAACGTGGCATATTATTATTACCGTATTGAGTACAGACACCAAGAGAAAGCACTATGCAAGTTTTCAGGTACTACTAAAAGCTATACAACATGTACAATAGGGTGTTTAATAAAGGATTAAACTTTATAAAAACTGTAGGAGTAGAGGATGGACCTCTAACCGTACACAAAGAATGTACAAATAACCATACATAAACTGAACAAAATTTTCACAGACCATACCCAAAAATACTTCAAGATCCCCCAAGGCAGTGGAGAGCGGGCCTCTCCTTGTGTCCTCCGCGGCGGTGGAGAGCAGACCTCTCCTCGAGTCCCCCGCGGCGATGGAGAGGGTGTCTCCTCTCAGTGGAGGACAGCGAACCTCTCCTGCACCTGTCCCCTCAGTGGCGCTGCCAGTGTTATAGTGGTGCCGAAGAAGCCGGAAACCGGAAGTTGGAAACCGGAACTCGGCTTCACAATGAGGCTTGGAGCACAGGTGCAGCCGCTCCATCCATCATCTGTGCTCACTGCTCGCCACACAGTTATTTCTCCTCGCATTTGGCGAGTGGATGAGCTGCTTTTTCAAGCCCTGCTTTAGCTATATATATATTGTTTTTACTGGATGTTTCCGTAGGCAACTACTGATGCGTGTATAGGTTGATTTTTCAGAAGGGAGGAGGTTAAATTCTTTCATAAGGAATTCAAAAAATTTGGTGCCGTTTTTAACACAAATCTCTTGTATTGTGTGTATGCCATTATGTTTCCAATTCAAGATATCTATGCTAGGCATTAAGACTTCTAAGGCTGTTATAGGTATAGGAAGAGGACTTATTCGGAGAGGATCTATAGGCATGGAGCTTAAAGATTTCCAGGCTTCAATTGAGGCTCGTACAGTTGGTGTTGTTTTACTAGTGGGAATCCTTTGCCACGAGTTTGCTAGTAGTATGGCACCTAAATCTGTCGTAGAGGATAGAGTTTTTTCAATGTCACCCCATTTTGTATCATCTTCCACTATAAACCAATGTTTGAGTTGGTTTAATAATGATGCTTTGTGATAGTCCCGAATGTCTACAAATCCCATTCCTCCCATGTTTTTGTGTTTGATTAATATATTGTGTGAGCATTCAGGTCTCATATTTCCCCAGACATATTTGTTAAGCATAGATTGTAGTTTTGTTAGATATGAAGATTTAATTGGGATTGGAATTGATCTAAATAGATATTTTTAAATGCAGCCAGTCTGCCAGGCCAGGATAGTTCATGCTTAGCCATTTGATTAAGGTGGGTTTGAATTTTTGGAATGAATAATAAGATTTCCTAGGTCAGAGGTTTTGTTTGTCCACAATATTATAAGATAAGAGGTGCATTTTTAAAATGTGATCTACACCCAGATTTAGGATATTAGATTTGGATGCATTTATTTTACAATATGAAATATTACTGAATTGTATGATAATTTGTTGAATTGCTGCTAAAGAAGTAGAAGGATTAGTTAGCATTAAAATGATGTCATCTGCAAAGAGTGTTATTTTGTGGTGGTTTTTACCTATATAGAAGCCATGTATATCTGGGTTGTTTCTTATAGTTTCAGCAAGAGGTTCAATTGATAGGTTAAAAATTAGTGGTGACAATGGGAATCCTTGTCTGGTACCATTCGTAATTAAGCATGGTTTGGATAGCATGTTAGATACCGTATTTTCTGGCGTATAAGACGACTTTTTTTACTTAAAACCATACCCCAACAATTGGGGGTCGTCTTATATGCCAGGTATAGAACTGCTGGATGTGCGGTAATACTGTACGGTAGCTTCAACTACATACAGTGTACCGCGCTGAGCCAATCACGGCGAGCGATGTATTCTATTAATGAATAATACAGAGCCTGCTCAGATTGGCTGAAGTTGTGACATCATCTGACGCAGCCAATCCGAGCAGGCTCTGTATTCATTAATAGAATACATCACTTGCCGTGATTGGCTCATATGACGTCCTCCCATTCTCCGCGCATGCGCGGCGATGCGCTGTGTCCCTCAGACACAGCGGGATCACCGATCACGGAAAGAGCCGAAGATGTCGGCTCGGTCATGTGATCAGCTGTGTCCCAATCACAGCTGATCACATGTAAACAGGGAAATGCCGGTTATCGGCATTTCTCTCCTCTCGAGCTGTCACGCTGACAGAGGAGAGGAGAGCCGGTAATCGGCTTTCCGCGGAGGGGACATGTACCCTGATCATCAGGGCACTAATGATCAGTGTGCCCTGATGATCAGTGTAGCCCCAGCAGTGACACCTGTCAGTGTCCATCAGTGCCAGCTGTCAGTGTCCATCAGTGCCACATCAATGTCACATATCAGTGCCTACCAGTGCACATCAATGCCACATATCAGTGCCCATCTGAGCTGCCTTTCAGTGTCACCCATCAGTGCCACCTATCAATGCCAATCAGTGCCACCTATCAGTGCTGCCAATCAGTGCCACCTATTAGTGCCAGTCAGTGCCGCCTATCAGTGCCATGTATCAGTGCTGGCTTTCAGTGCCCATCAGTGATGCCTGTAAATGCCCATCAGTGCCACCTTTCAGTGCTGCCAATCAGTGCCACATATCAGTGCCACTCAGTGCCGCCTATCAGTGCCAGTCAGTGCCGCCTATCAGTGCGCATCAGTACTGCCTATCAGTGCCACCTATCAGTGCCAGTCAGTGCCACCTATCAGTGTCAGTCAGTGCCACCTAACAGTGCCAGTCAGTGCTGCCTATCAGTGCTGCCAATCAGTGCCGCCTATCAGTGCGCATCAGTACCAGTCAGTGACGCCTATCAGTGCGCATCAGTGCTGCCTATCAGTGCCACCTATCAGTGCCAGTCAGTGCCAGTCAGTGCCACCTAACAGTGCCAGTCAGTGCCACCTATCAGTGCCATATATCAGTGCCATGTATCAGTGCTGCCTTTCAGTGGCCATCAGTGATGCCTGTCAATGCCCATCAGTGCCACCTACCAGTGCCTCCTCATCAGTGCCCATAAGTGCCACCTATTTCATATGGGTACAGTGTTGCATGACCGCGCAATTGTCATTCAAAGTGTGACAGTGTTGAAAGCTGAAAATTGGCCTGGGCAGGAAGGGGGTATAAGTGCCCTGTAGGCTAGGTGTTAAATGGTGTTGCCTCAGAAGGGGGGTAGTCTTATACGACGAGTATAGCCAAAAACCTGTGTTTTAACTGGAAAATTAGGGGGTCGTCTTATACACCCAGTTGCCTTATACGCCGGAAAATACGGTACATAGACTTGGGCAGAAGTGCTGAAATAGCATTACGAGGGGCGACTGAAAAGTTCTCGGCCTACCTATGAAGCATTTGTTTTTTATTTTTGCTACTCATAGTACATATCTTTGCAAGGTTCCATACCAAATTTCCAAAATACCAAAGCTTTTTATGAGAAATTTGATACAGAACCTTGCAAAGATATGTACTATGAGTAGCAAAAATAAAAATGGGCTAAGACAAATGCTTCATGGATAGGCTGAGAACTTTTCAGTTGCCCCTCGTAATAATTGTTCCTGAAAATCCAAATTTATGCAGCACTTGGAACATGTACAGTATGTCCAGTGTATCCTATCAAAAGCCTTTTCGGCATTCAGAGCAAGTAATAAGGAGGGAATTTTTTGTGAGCCTGTGTAATGAATTATGTTGATTAGTCTCCGGGTTGCGTCAGATGTTTGTCTACCTTTAGTAAAGCCTAACTGATCAAGCTTGATCAAATCTGGGAGTATATTGGCCAGTCTGCATGCTATAATTTTAGCGTAAATCTTAATATCAGTATTTAATAAAGAAATAAGCCTGACATTTTGTGGGTTGTGTGGATCTTCACCTGATTTGGGGATTGTTACGATTAATGCTTGTAGCATTTCAGAAGGTAATGAGGTGGAAGAAGACGCGTCAGTGTCTAGTTGGTTTAGATGAGGACTGAAAATTTGATAGTATTCGCTGGAAAATCCATCTGGTCCCTGACTTTTGCCATTGGGTAGTTTTTTCTATTGTTCTGTTTATTTTGTTTATTGTAATAGGGGAGTTTAAGATACTTAATTGTGATTTCAAAAGAGTGGTTAAAAAATGTATGTATGTTTTCTATAGAGGGTTGGAGTGTGGATTTGTCTTGATTTAGATTATAAAGCGAATCGTAGTAACTAGCAAATGAATTTGCTATTTCTTGAGGATTAGTGATTTTAGTTTTATCTTTTGAGTTGATAAGATACGGTATTTTAGTTCTAGTATGCAGGGATTTCATTTTATTCGCTAGGTATCTCACTGCTTTGTTTCTATTAGAGTAGTAGTTGAGGTTTAATCTTTGCGTACTTCTATCAAATTGGTACCAAATTGGAGCGTAATTCATTCCTTAGTCTGGAGCACGTCTTCATCCGCACATTAGACCGTTCCTTCATCAGCTCCCCCTCCAACAGGTAAAATTCAATAAAATGTTACATGTTGGAGGGGGAGCTGATGAAGGAACGGTCTAATGTGCGGATTAAGACGTGCTCCTTGGTGTACATCAAATCCAAACTCCAACCTTCTATAGAAAACATACATACATTTTTTAACCACTCTTTTATTCAGTAATGAATCCTACCTGGCTACAACACCCAGTGAACTCTGCAACCATCTATTGAGCACTTGTAACGTGGCGACTGAGAACTCCTCTTCTGAGACTTGAGAGAGCCAGCATGCTGTCACAGCAAATAGATATGTACCCAAGAAGAGCAGAAGACATAACAGTGGTCCTACATGTGATAGATCTAGATCAATGATGATTGAGGATTTGTGAGTTGCACACGAGGCATAGCGCCTCATCATTGGTATCAGTGGAAGGAATAGTGCCCCATCATTGGTGTCAGTGGGAGGAATTGCGCCCCATCATTGGTGTCAGTGGGAGGAATAGCGCCCCATCATTGGTATCAGTGGAAGGAATTGTGCCCCATCATTGGTATCAGTGGGAAGGAGGAATAGTGCCCCATGGTTGGTGTCAGTGGGGGAGGAATAGTGCCCCATCATTGGTGTCAGTGGGGAGAATAGTGCCCCATCATTGGAATTGCGGCCCCATCATTTGGTGTCAGTGGGAGGATTATAGCGCCCCATTGGTATCATTGCCCCATAATTGGTGTCGTGGGAGGTATCATTGGTGTCAGTGTCAGTCCTCATCATTGGTATCAGTGGGGGAGGAATAGTGCCCCATCATTGGTGTCAGTGGGGAGAATAGTGCCCCATCATTGGTGTCAGTGGGGGAGGAATAGTGCCCCATCATTGGTGTCAGTGGGGGGAGGAATAGTGCCCCATCATTGGTGTCAGTGGGAAGAATAGTGCCCCATCATTGGTGTCAGTGGGGGAGGAATAGTGCCCCATCATTGGTGTCAGTGGGGGAGGAATAGTGCCCCATCATTGGTGTCAGTGGGGAGGAGGAATAGTGCCCCATCGTTGGTGTCAGTGGAGGAGGAATAGTGCCCCATCGTTAGTGTCAGTGGGGGAGAGGAGCGGCTGCTCCTTCTTTCAGTTCGGCCGCTTGATTTTCGCGGGGCCGTTCGGCTCCGCCTCCTCGCCGGTGATTGGTCGCCTGTGTGCGCTGGCGCCCAATTACCGGTGAGGAGGCGGAGCCGAGTGGCCGCGCGACCATCGAGCGGCCGAACTGAAAGAAGGAGCAGCCGCGCTTCCTGGACCGGATCGTCGTGGGACCGGGACCGGAGCCAGGTAAGGTACAGCAGCCCCTCTGCCCACCCCTGTACTTAGAGGACACCGCCCCTCAAAAAAGTGGCGCCCTGACACCGGCTCGCCGTATACCGGCGCATAAGACGACCCCCGACTTTTCAGAAGATTTTCACGGTGTTGAAAAGTTGTCTTATACGCCGGCAAATACGGTAGTCTTTTTTTTAGATTTTGTTGAGTCTAGATTTCTATCAACTATGAGGTTGAAGTCACCACATAGTATAAGGGAACCAGAACGATTTTTGGAGATTAGTTTGAACAGCTTGGTAAAGTATCTTTTTTGATGAGTATTAGGTGCATATGAATTTACAATAGTGTAATCTGTATTATTTATAGTACATATAAGAATCAGGTACCAGCCTTCGGGGTCTGAGATATTTTTATGAAGAACAAAGTTTAGTGTATCTCTAATAACAGTATAGGCATTGGCAGTATATACATATGGAAACTTTTTTGTGTGAGCATTTAGGAGGAGCTGAATCTACGAAATGAGTCTTTTGAACACAGTATATCACATTTATCTTTAAATGCCTGTTTTCACATGTTTGTACATTTGGCTAGATGATTCAAGCCAATGACATTAATAGAGATAATTTTTATACCCATTGAATAGATATATTTACCGATACTAATCGGGGCTTAACCAAGGGGCCGCTAAACAAACATACTTTTGAAAAGTAATTTAGAGGCCTATTTAAAAAGTAAAAAAAACTTTTGTTTTATAAACATAAGTAGATTTTGAACAGATTTTTTTCAGCTATATCTCAAAGTATTTTTCTCTTTATCTAACAAAAAGCTGATATCATTGTTGTTATAATTAGTGTTATTTTTAATAGCCTTACTTTCAGCTTTAACTGGAGAAAAAAAAATCGACAGAATGAAGTTTGAGGTCATGATTGTTTTACCTTTTATAAAAAATGGATTATTTACACATTAAATGGTTTGGAATGTAAAAAAAAATGTTTTTATTAAAATCATCAAAAATTGATTAATAAAATTAGAGGTGCTTTAAAAACAAAGGCAGCTAAATCACGAGTTGACTTTTTGTTAGCACTACAGTTAGAATGGAATATAGCTGTCTTAATAAAAAAACATTTAAAATGAAATTCCTATATGAAACAAATGAGCAAATACTTGATATATATGTTATACGGCATGGCTAAATATTACAGACCTGGACAGGATTAATGTTAAGGTAGACAAACCCTAGCTTATTAAATTAGCTGATTGTTGTCATGAGCAGAGAAAGAGTGACATACAACAAAATACTCAAACTTTAGAGGGTTATGCTTCATTAAAGCAGAACTTCACCCAAAAGTGCTCCTCCCCCTTCATCTATCATATTTGGCAAGTAATTTTTTTTTTGGGGGGGGAATGGGTACCTAGTTTTGACAAGTACTCGCTCCCGCTTCTGCCCAGATCACCTAGGTAATCTGAGCGGACGTTCAGCCCCCCATCTCTTCACTTGCAGCTTTCTTGGACGCATCACAGGTCCCAGCAGGCTTTGGGATCATTCACAAAGAGCAGCATGGATCGAGCATAAGCAGTAGCAATCTGGCTGTGAAGCTGCAAGCTATCACAGTTGGCTTCCCACCATAAAGATGCTGGCTCAGGGAATCCAGAGACTACTAAAAGTGTCCTTTTATTAAAAGTCAGCAGCTATGGTATTTGTAGCTGCTGACTTTTAATTTTTTTTTCTAGAGTGAAGAACCACTTTAATCAGTTAATTAACTGTCTAATCCAAACAGTTCAATTTAGCATGACAAGTAAAATGTTTCTTGCAACAAAGAGATTAAAGCTAGAATGCATATTCTACAAAAAAAAGAGAACTGAATTTGTTTTGGATCAATGTTTTAACTGTTGTTGCTCTTTAAACTGATCTATTTTTCTACTATTTTAAATAAATCTTTATTTTACAAAGAAACATTTAATGTGAGGTGCAACCAGGACATCAGTTTCACAAGTCATTATGGGTTTTCTAAAGAGAAAGGTCAGCAGTAGTTGTTTCTTTTCAAGCTGTCTATTGTTAAATAAAATTCTATTTTGAGCCACACAGAGCAGATTAATGGCTGTAGGAAGGGGGGAATCTCCCCTCTGAGTCATTCAGCTATATGTGGAATTTGAGCTTCAGCTCTTAAAGTGGTTAAAGTCTCTTTTTTAAATTAAATTAATAAATTGGTTTATACTTACCTGCTGTGTGCCATGGTTTTGCACCCACCCTCCTCTTCTGAGGTCCTATGCCACACTATCAGAAATGCCTATAAGACCAGGAAGAGAGGGAGAGAAGACCTACAGCCAGGCACAGCTTCTGATCGATACAGAAGTCAGGTAGATATTAGGGAGGGGGAGACAAACAGATAGTGCAAGGTTTTTTTACTTTAAAGCAGAGAATTCTACTTTAACCACTTTAAACTCTAAACAAAAGACTTTCATCGGCAAAGCAGTTAGTATAAGTTTGTACAAATTAAAAAAAAATAGTGCTCCACCAGTGACTGGAAAAAATATGCATATACAATATACTAAAAAAATATGCATATATGCATATACTAAAAAAAGTTTAAAATGTATTTTTTATGAATGAGCATACAGTATATATAATATATGCAAACACATATATCATCTTAAGCAAGTAATACTATCTTACTTAGGCTTAAGCCAAAAAATAACATGGAGCAATACTGTGGGGACTGGGGTCGTATTGCTTATAAAAATAGTTCTAAATTTGCAGCTGCACTTTCAGGCGTGCAATTGAGAAATGTATCCCATTAAAGTGAAAGTAAACCCTTTAGACCAACTATCTCAATTAGGTATCGGTATTGGTGCTGATACAGAGTATTTTCATGAGTACTCATGAAAATACACTGCTCAAAAAAATTAAAGGCACACTTATTAGTCAGAGTATAGCATCAATCAATGAAACTCCTGGGATATTGATCTGCTCAGTTGAGTAGCAGAGGGGGTTGTTAATCAGTTTCAGCAGCTTTGATGTTAATGAAATTAACAACAGGTGCACTAGATGGGCAACAATTATACAACCCCCAAAAAAGGAATTGTTTTACAGGTGGAGGTCACTGCCATTTTTTCCCAACTCATCTTTTCGGACTCTTTTTCACTAGTTTTGCATTTGGCTAGGGTCAGTGTCATTACTGGTAGAATGAGGCGATACCTGGACCCTACAGAGGTTGCACAGGAAGTCCAGCTCCTCCAGGATGGCACATCAATACGTGCCATTGCCAGTAGGTTTGCTGTGTCTCTCAGTACAGTCTCAAGAGCATGGAGGAGATTCCAGGAGACAGGCAGTTACTCTAGGAGAGCTGGACAGGGACATAGAAGGTCCTTAACCCATCAGCAGGACCGCTATCTGCTCCTTTGTACAAATAGTAGTAACAAAATGACCTCCAGCAGGCAACTGGTGTGAATGTCTCTGACCAATCAGAAATAGACTTAATGAGGGTGGCCTGAGGGTGCTCACTGCCCGGCACCATAGAGCTCGATTGGCATTTGCCATTGAACAACAGAATTGGCAGGTCCACCACTGGCACCCTGTGCTTTTCACTCATGAGAGCAGATTCATCCTAAGCACTTTTGACAGACATTTTTTTTCTCCCACAGTGCACAGAACATGAAAATGCAATTATTTTAGTAAATATAAACTACTAAATACCTTTTCTCACCCACAGTTAGAGTGGTCTTGTGACTTCTATCAGTGTTCAGCAGAGCACTGGTTAAAGCTTGTATGAGGAGTTTTCTTCTCCTCTGACTGTCCTAGAAGGCTGCATGACCCCTGGCTCTCTGTCTGGACAGCACTGATTGGCCCTGTGCAGATCACATGCACTCTCCAAAGAAAAAAAAACTATCTAGCAATACACACCAAACTCAGCATGTGCAGCTTGCCCCTGAGCCTCTGTTCTCTCAAGAGATATTTAGGAGACACTGAAAGAAGGGGATGATCAGAGAAGAGAGGATCAAACATCCTTTTTACACAATGTGGATGATTAACCCCTTAGGTTCCACAGTGAGTATAACAAGCATGCTTTACTGCATATACAGACTGATTTTACTGTTGTGAGTTTAGTAACAATTTAAGTGCCGGTTCACATATATGCAGATTGCATGAGGTTTGAACAGTATCTAATTATTATTAATATTATTATTATACAGGATTTATATAGTGCCAACAGTTTGCTCAGCGCTTTTCAATATAACGGGAGACAATACAGCAACAATACAGTTCAATACAAGAGGGAAAGGAGGGCCTTGCTCCTTGGAGCTTACAATCTAGGAGGGAGTGGCTAGTGGTACAAAAGGTAGTAACTGTGGGGGATGGACTGGTTGGATGAGTAGAAGATTCCATTATTAGCTGAGGGCAGGATAGGCTTCCTTGAAGAGATAGGTTTTCAGAGATTGCCTAAAAGTGAGCAGAGTAGGTGATAGTCTCATAAATTGGGGTAGAGAGTTCCAGAGGATGGGAATGACATGTGAAAAAATATTGCTTCCAATGATGTCTGTTCACATATGTCTGGTGCACTGGCGGTGCAGATTCAGTGCGGTTTAAAAAAAGAGTCCTGT